ATCTATGTGTTGCATTATGTGAATTATTACTTGACACTGACACTTTTTTTCTTACACATTTATTTGTGCAATTAATTAATACATAAACAAAAAGAGATATATTACATGTCAAATATAGAAAATAAAATATAATAATGGTAATAATAATAAGTTATAATTACATTGAATCATGCATGTGGTGAAATAAATAATGTCATGTTTGTGACTGCAGAAACTCTAATAAAGAAAAAGACAACAAATAAAATTTTGGAAAAAAAAAAATCTAAATTATTTTCTTCGCATTCTTTTTTTGGAAACGATATTACAGTTTTAGCAAAATTAGAAGGAATAAATGATAATCGGGATGCACTATATAAAATTTTGTTAGATTACCATGTGGTTAACTTCCGCAATCGATCACAAAGTTCTAGACATACTCCATTTTTTATGTTCAGAAACATTACCTCAGGTTTTCTGCATGCACGGAGAAGGCCGAACACATGTGCAGGAAACAACTTTTAAGCTCTGTGTAACAGGCTAGCTTCGGCGTTGAAGACACGGACACAGTCTCTCTCACACAGACACACAGTCACACAGCGAGAGAGCGCGAGATGGAGCCCAACAGGGATTGAACTTCGCTGCCGGCAGGATGGGATAGAACGTGCCACCGTCGAAGGTGTGGGAAGCATGAGGAAATGCCATGCTAGTGTGGTGTCTCAGGATCCGTATAATCCCACTGTAACTATACGTCGTTGAACCAGGTGTAACAACGACGCTGAGCTCAGAGAACTGGACAATGATCCGACGGGGAGGGAAGGGTGGAGGGGATTATTCGCCATCAGCTTGGTGGGTCGTATTCTCCTAGACATATCAAGGATCGCAATTGCAGGCCGCAAAGCACATGGAAATGAGTGATATGCCCAAACTTGCACCAACTCAGGTCGTCCCATAAAGCACCAACCGCCGGCCTGGCCCTTTTCAGCATTGCCCTACACCACCCCAGGATCGGTACCCCGGAAAAAGAGTTTCCGTGCGGAGTGAGGCAAAATCCCGTTGGCCCACCGAACAAGGAGCTTTTTGGGGTACGGACCCAATCGGGTGTTGAGGCACCCTACTTTACGCTCCCTTCTGGATGAAGCGCGTTGGCCTCCGGGGGATGCCAAGCCAAGCCAACGCAGAAACAGAAACAGGAAACAGAGCCATAGATTTCCCACGCCACTGTGGATGACGCCAGGATTCGCCAGCGCCTCTCGCAACCGCTCATCGTTCACGATGCAATCGGCAACGCAATTTGGACCGCCAACTCAACTTGTGGCCTTCACGTTGGTTGCATCACGGCCATCGGTACACGGCGCAGATCTCCTGGAATATCTCTCTCACACTGTGCTTGCTTGTGTGGCCCCACGGCCATACTCCGCCCCTATCGCCGCTCTTCCCTCTCTCCTGACAGGCCCCTTCGAATGCCCTCCCCTATCACCGTGCTCCCCCCCCCCTCCTGACACTTCCAACTTCCGAGGCCATGTTCAGATCTTGGATTCGGCAGCACTGCCACGTAGACCCGTCATTTTCTCTTCAGAGTTTACTCCCAGTTTCCAGGGTAAGATTTGAAGAGTGGATGAGTGGAGGAATCTTCTGACATGGATTTACAAGATTTGTCTGTAAGTCGTTATCCGCTACAAACACATAAAAATGCGAACTCATTGTAAAATTTGGGGTCACTTATCTTCTTCTCCGTCTAAATATTGTTTGCATGACTTTTGTGTTTTACTCAAACACATGCATTTGTATCTGAAACTTTTCTTTTTTTCTTTTTTTCTTTTTTTCTTTCACCCTCTCTCTTTAAAATTGTAGCTGGTTAATATGATCATAAAATAATAGTTCAAAAAAAATATTTGTACTAATGACATGTATTTTGGGGGGACAATGTGAGGTATACGTCACATGGATGTTTATTATTAGTATAAAGTTACTATATAATTGCCATTAGAGTATTGAAAAGGTGCAAAAGTAAAACTTTCTTAGATAGTCCATTATAATAATACGTCGTTAACAACAGTGCAAAGCTAATAATAGCAACTTAGACTTTTGTTTGTATTGCACTGCTTTTTACAATATGAACGCAACAAAGTTTATTTATTTTTAAAATTTTAACCTTGATATTTTAAAAATAAGTGATATTACTTGAATGAGCTTTCATAGTTATAGATTTTGAATTTTGCCACTTCAATGAAGCAATCTATGTCCAACAGCGACTATGTCATTACCTAAATTTTCTTGCACATTGGGTGATAAGTATAAAATCATAATATAAAAAAATAGTAAAAAGAAAAAAACTCGTTCTAATATTAGACATGCTCCTGCCGAATAAAAACGATTAACCAAAAAGTAAAAAGAAAAGCAGGATTCCTCTAATAAGTTGGGTGATTTTGCACCCCGTCCCAGAAAAAAAGGCAGGCGAGAAAAGTCAACAGGTGGTAAACGGAAACGTTCAGGAAAGTTCTTTTATCCATATAAAAGCAAATCGATGAAAAGTCTGTTAGTCTGTTGTCGCGTTTTGTGATTTTTGAGAAGCAACAAACGAAGTTCGGTCCCCACATAAAATCTTCACTCCCCCTCCCCACACCCCTTTGTTTAGCCCGCAATGAGAACCACTGCCGAACGAATGTCGTGGGTCTTAATACACATCCGTGAATGCGGTTCTCATCCACTCATCGCTTGCTGCTGCTTTACGCCCTTCCCTTGGTGCCCTGCGCCCCACAGTTTGCCCCGACGCTCGAACTTCACGAATCTGATTTCAACTCACAGCTATGGCGCACCGCCGATGACCATCATTTCACCACGATGACTAGGTTTGTGACGTCCCTGCGGAGAGGAGAGGAGAGTGCGGCGTTTTTCGTGCGTTTGTTGCAATGTCGTCTTTTATGCGCTGCTTTGGAATTCGGAGAGGAGGCTGATTAGCGAGGAGACGGTGTGCATGAAGGGGTAAAGTGGAGTGGGAGGAGTATTTTGGTTATGGTGTGAGAAGGCGGGCAACGGAGAGGACGATTTTTATTCATTTCTTCAAAGACTTGTATGTTTTATTTTATTTTATTGTAATTTTTAGACGGCAGGGAGGTTCCAGAAGGGCTGAGAAATGAGGCGAAGTGGTGGTTGTCCTGTGCGGGGGTGAGGATTGGGGGAATGAACTGTAGTAGTGCTCGCTCGGGCGAGTTTTCGGATGATGCCTGCTGCCTGTATTTCGGCATTAGGTTTTTTTCGATAGTGTAATTTTTGATGAATGTGAGAGGGTTAGGAGAGAAGGTGGAAGAAGTAGAGGTGTGAGATCGAGGATCATGACGAGTTTGTAGAACTCGAGGTTGGTCGGAGGGATTGCAGCTATTAGAAACGTCGCGTTCGAATTTTCTTGGTTTGTCTTTGGACTTAGTTCTTTGTTCCTTGGAATGTGGAGAGGGAGAGAGTTGGTTGAGAATGAACGATGCAGAGATACTAAACCACAATTCCTACATTGATTGGCCGTGTGGCTGATGCACTATCCTCTCGCCTATGTGCATAATTGTAGGAAATCACGTGCACTTTGATAACAGTTCGAGGAATGGTGCTTGCCTTTCAATCGTACAGGGCTGCTCGTAAGTATCGTTTGGATGTAGAGTTGCATGCTCATTGCCCTTAGCCCATGTGACTATTTTTTAGTACATTCTCTAAACATCGGGCGTTTTTAGGCCCGAGCGGAACGATCAGTGCCATCCAATTTCTCTCTCAATCTCCAAAACGTCACTGAATTCAGGTGTTAGCTCAAACTCGTAGTATGCTTCTCTTTTACTCTTTGTTCTTTTTTTCGCTGTATTCTCCTTACGATTTGGATGATTGTTACTGAGTCTCTGGTAGGATCAGGACTAGGGTGGCTGATGGGAATTCACATGTGAGAGTGCCGCGACTATGTGGTGCTTACATCTTCGCTTTAGTAGCGGATACTAAATTGTGCCCGAGTGAGATGACCTATCCGGAGTGTCGCTATACTTTCGCCGTTAGCCTAGCGTGATCTTTGCGGTCACTTCACGCGGCAGCGTGTTTAGTCTTTCATTCTACACTTCGTCCTCAGATAGTTGGCTTGCCGTTGTAGAACGTCGTTCTGGAGTGTTGGTTGAATAAGGAAGGCGATGCGTAGACTCATAAGACTTTAAACAAGGCAGTTTTGCGTCTGCAGCCGTATCACTAGAAGTTCTCTCCCTTTCTTCTGCTTAATGTTCAATTTGATTTGTTTTTTTCCCTCTTCACTTGGCTGAGCCCAGCGACGCTGAAATATCTCTTGTATCAACAAGGGGTTATTGCAAGTATTGCAGCCTCTGTAATTATTCTTCGCTGTTATCACTCCTATGCGCTTTGTGCATTTCGATCTTTCGCGATTGTCCTTCTGTGTTCAATTCTTCTAGATGCCTAATATTTCTGATATATCTTTAGACGTCTCGGGTGGATACAATTTTGCGATAAATTTTTGCATTCACTCTTCTCTTATGAATCTCCATTCAGTGCATGCACAGGGCACCCTTACTCTGATTGTATCCAAGTCTTGTACGATATCCTCGTCGTGCATGCTTGTAATTTTTTTGAAAGTGTTCTGTACACTTTTCAGACTGTTTTTCATCCTAGTCGGTTTATCTTGCATGTACCTTCACATCTTGGTACCCAATGTCGAGAAGGTCCTTGATTTCTCTAGGAACTTTCTGTTAATCGATATTCACTTCAGGTAACTAAGCTCCTCAGTTACCTTAAGCGAATAGCATCTTGTGAAAGGTTGTGCTTTTCCATGAATATCTTTTACGTGGTTCCTTCCGAGCAGGAGCCAGTCCCTCGGATCTGAGGTGGAAAGTGGATACATGGACCGGTTTGGTCTTCTTTAGAAACGCCGTCCTCCTCGTCAGAGATTGGAGGTAGAAGATAGAGTTGAGAGCGGATTTAAACACCACTTCCGAAAACTTCTGGCGTTTCCTCACCGTAATTACCTAGATCTAGTCTAAGTAGGTATTGCTAACGTGGTTGTGGCGAATCGTGGGAGTGTTTTGTACGTCGTTGGTGGTCTGATTTAAGCAAGACACTAGGGTTAAAGTGATTAGAAGATCTGTAGTTGAGGTTCGATGTGTATTTCAGAGAAGTGCCGTAGGGATGTTGGACAGATTGATGATCAAGTTTTGTTATTGATTCTGTGTGGGTGACCTTGCAGGAGTTTTGGAAGTAGCAGGTGATTACGAAGCGTGGTTTCTACGTACGTCTTGAAAGATATGGTCAGTCAGTTTGCATGGAGCTTCTTGCTGAAAATCAGCAGAGCCCGGACAGTAGTTTTTCTTGTCGACTGAGGCAGATAGAGCGCGAGAGAGGTAGATCTGGTGGAGTAGAATAATCTACTGCATATCTGCGAGGTGGGCTCTTAAATTGGGTCAAGGACAAAGGTGAGATTGTAGTTCATCAATTGAAAGGGTTTGCTCATCAGACACGTCAAGATGTTGATCCATGTGGCTGAGAATGGCCAGTCCTTTGACCTGGATTGTCAGCCCACGACGAACGTAGGAGTTATACAGAACACTCTCGTGTCTATTACTGGTATACCTCTTCATGAGCAAATTCTCTTTTGTGGAGACACAAGTTTGAGGGCAGACCATGCACTAGTTGCCTATAAGCTACCAGATGACAATCGGCATGTCTTTCTGTATAATCGTTCACGTCTAATAGCTGATTGCCCGCCTCCTCCGCCGGAAGATCCTGAGGTGCCCCCGCGGGAAACTCCTCCTCCCCCATCAAGTTTGAATGAGGGGCATCCGTTGGATGATGCTAGTGACCCTGCGCTAAAAGCTCTCCCGTCTTACGAGCGCCAATTCAAATATCATTTCCAGAAAGGTCACGCAATTTTCTGTGCGAGCCAGAAGAAGTTTGACATTTGCAGGCGACTTCTGCGAGAGCAGCAGGTTCAGGAAATGGCTCTTGAGACTGCTCGGGGGAACATTGCTTATTATTACAAGGTTATAGATAATCAGTTTGGAGAATTTTTGAGGCAGTATGCGCGTCAGCACAAGCAGCACTCAGACCTCCTGGCTAATTTCGAGCGCGATTTAGAACGACTACGGGCGTGCAAACTGCATCCCAGTCTTCGGACTGAAACTCGAAAAACGTTACTGAATTGTGTGAGGGAATCCAGCCTCAGGGAAAGGGCTGAACATTGTAGCTTTTCCCACAAACAGTTTGGGTCTAAGGTAGCTGAACTCAAGGTTGTGTACCTTGATCTTCAACGAAATGTACAATATTTGTTTGGCTCTCCTTCGGCTGTGGATGTTCACGATCTTGAGAGGACCATCGAGGAGCACATACAATTCACAGACGAGCAAGCCAGTATCGTCCAATCCCTCAGGTAAGTAATGAACACTTCGATTCCTGGACTTATAACTTTGACTTGGTGGTGGAAGGTTGCGTGTTAATCATATTGGATTTCGGACTCTGCGGTTGCATTTGGGTTAACAGCAAGAACCGTATCAGAATTTAAATTTTCGTAAAGAAGCTATAGATTCCAGATTACAAGTTCTTAATTATCTTTTTCTCGTTTCAGCAAGGATGTGAATACCGTGAAGAAGCTGGTGGACGATTGTGTTTGTGGTCAATATTCCGGAAACCTACGCCCACATGACGCAGTCTCTGCACTCGGCCCAATGTATGATGTTCACGATAAAAATCACATTCCTCGATTGGAAGCATGTGATATGGAACTTGAAAATCTTTTAGAGTATTGTAAAAAAAGTAAAAATAAAATGAACTTGTGCGTACATACTCGGCTTCAGAATGTAGCAGCTCTGCAGTCTAATATAAGGGACATGCGCAATCAGTTGGCGGTCTTCAAGGAAGCATTGGTTCGTCAAAGCGATCATTTCGCAGAGTTGAAGTTACTTCGGCGGGTTGGTCCTTCTTACAAGGCTTGCCTTGCTGAGGTTGTACGACGCAAAGCATCCATGAAGCTTTACATGGGCCAGGTAATAATTATGATCTCTCGCGTAATATCTGGTCAACTGTCTCAAACTTGCCTGCTAAAAGCCTGAGCATTCTTACACAAGGTTTGATACGGTAGAGGTAGAAATTGTGTCGCGTAGGAACTACAGTCGTCGTCACGCTTCTTGTGTGGGTCAAGTTTCCTGCTAGTTGTGACTTGTCATTGTGACAACTATTCGTTCTTACGTAGAGTCGTCTCACTTTATGGAATGGTTATCATGTGGGTTATGGAATATTTAAATGCGAGGGAATTGTCGACGCGAAATGTAACTATTTTGAGAGGTACTAAATACTTGGCGACTGGGCATACCACAGGCTGGTCAATTGGCTGAGAAGCTGGCCAGGAAGAGGGAAGCGGAGATTGCTAGGCGTGAAGAGTTTCTTCGAGTACAGAGTATGTACATTCATCGGGAGGTACTGCAAGCGATGGGGTTGTTTGAGATTCCTAGTCAGTGCATTGTAAATATTGCCCCCTTTGACACTAATCTGCTGGACATTGATGTTAACGACATCGAGCGCTATGCTCCTGAGTCCTTAGTTGGACGGCTGATGAAAGGACCAGACCAAAATCCTAGGGGAAGCTCTCGATCTCTTTCAAACAGTGGCTTTCAATCATCAGGTGAGTTTTTCTGTTGAGTGCATTATTAACCCATTAATTGATTGACCAGTTTTCCTCCCTCCCAGTTACGTGTCTATTTTTTTGTGTGCCTTATATTTCTTGTTCTTGTGACGAGGTCAGATAAATGTTACTTGTATTTTAGTTGGAGTACTAAGAGGTGATAAGGTTGTTGTAGCATGTAGGTTGATGTATGTTTCAGCTGTTGATGTATTAGTCACTGTTTAGCTTTATGGGAGTGAAAAACAATTGCATTTGACTGAACTCCACGTACATGATACGATATTATAATTCCTTTGTGTGTGAACTTGCGCACGTTTCTTTAGAACTCGTTCGAACACTAACGATTGCATAGAGCTGATCTGCATTACAGGGGGTTCTCAAGGTACTATGGACGCCCTAGATGAACAAAACTTGGACGCTAATGAAGACGACAGTGGAGGTGACGAGATAGCTGGTACCAGCAAACTCGAAGTGGAAAATGCGTGGTTGAAGTCTGAGCTGGCGTCAGCTGTAGCCATGCTTTGTAACCTAGACCCAGGTTCTGGACTAGAAGAAGGGGCTGGTGACAGCCAAGACCCTGGGAAGAGTGCTGAGATGGAGAGGGGTGGAAGGGCTCAAAATGCTGCTCAGAAAACTGCAGAAGCTTTGCATCTGAAAGACGAGCATGCCAAACATTTGAAAAGCATGTTAGCCATGCTGAAGGTATGTATCAAGCCTGATTACATTGCTCTTGAGCTATGTATTATCAACCAAATATTTTGTGAAGTTTGAAGCAGTCGAGAAAAATAAGCTAATTTTCAAATGTATCTTTTTTAAAAGTTTCCACTCATTGCACGATGTATCTTATTGATATGGAATGCCCTAAGCCGATCAATCATTTTTTTTTGATAGGTGCAATGTAACTCGTATGAAAAGCGCATAAGAGAGCTGGAACAGCGTCTGGCTGAGCAGCACATACAACTGCAAAAGTACAGATCTATGGAAAGGCATGATCGTCGAAGCCATGTTCCAGAGGAATTCGACCAATTACAAGAAATAATAGAACCCGAACAAGGCACTTCCGAGACCTCTGGAATTACTGGTGATGGGACAGGAAGAATGCAGGGAGGAGTAGTAATCCCCGAGCCAATGGATGAGGGAATGACCAGCAATATTCAAGCCAGCTCTACCACTAGTATTAACGCTAGAACAGATGCAGATGGGGGCCAAAGAAGGAGCACAAGGGAAGGAGGGGATGAGGTCATGAGTGACGTTTCAGGTATGCTACTTTTGCAGATGTTGTTAACTTTTAATCTGATGTGAACTTTGTTATAAACATGTGTGATAATTTTCATCCTTCTGCATCGTTTTTCTTTCGATAGGCATGAAAGAAGATTGTTTTCGTATTTGATTTTTGATTCATGTCGGCACCCACGATTTGTAATTTTGTGTTCTTTGTCATCGACTTTTTTCTTCGTAATACTGTTTTACGTCAGTTGGAAAGATAGACTTAACGTACGAAAAAATTGTAACTCAATTTAGGAGGAATTTCCGTTATGGATGCTGGTGCGGTGGACTCAAGAAAAGAGAGTTCTGCAGGAGGTGTTAATGGGAATGAAGGTACATATAATTTTTAGCTCTATTTATCAGCTTTTACAGGTCACAATCTTGATTAATCCGTTTGAGCTCGATATTTTGCTAGTTTCATTGCAAGGCACATTGTTTTCCCACTCATATTTTTTTCGGCGATATCATAATCATACTTAAAAAGTTGAACTTGAATTTCTTGTAGGTCTGCTCGAAGTGCCGAATGATGTCAATGCTGAAAAAGAGCAAAGAGACGATGATGTGGAGTTGAATGGAAATTTAGTTGGTGCTGGCGCTGATGAAATTGCCTTGAAGGAGCCTGTTGTGGGAGGAAATGCCTCGTTAAGGGAGACAGAACAAGAAGTTTCTGCTTTGCAAACTGACCTACTGGAAAAGAACGAACAATTAATGGCCACAGATGATAGACTCAAAGCTGCTATGGAGGAGGTTGCTCGCTTAACTAGCGAGTTGGATGGGAATGCCGAACTTCTAAATGAATGCCAGGTTAGTGTGGAATATCGAGTTTTTCTCAATTGGATGTTTGAGGCTTATTTGGAATGAGACGTTACGACCATGCTGTGTATTTGCTGATACTTTGTGGAGTCAAGGTAAAGGTTTAGTGCCTCCGTTTTGAAAAAGCTTAATCATATTGCAGATGAATTGTGCCCATTTGGAGAACCGACTGCACGAAGCTAGAGAAGAGGCTCGGACCAACCTCTGTGCAGCTGACCGAAGAGCTGCTGAGTACAGTGCATTGCGTGCTTCCAGTGTCCGTCTCAGAGGATTGATGGAACGTTTACGGAGTTGCATTACTGCACCCGTCGGCAATCCGAGCAGCTTTGCGGAGTCCCTCCGTAGCTTGGCTGTTTCTCTCTCCAGGTAGGCCTTAGTTCAATTCTAAACCCGTAGAGATGTCTTGAGTTTAGTTAATTTTTAATAATTGTAGACCTCTCAAAGACATATAAATATGTCATGCAATGAAAATGAATTCCTGGTTTTCCTTGGTTCAAGCAGTGTGAACGTCAACGATGGAAGTGAGGACAGCGAGTTCAGGAATGCAATAAGAGTCCTTGCAGATAGAGTTGGGAATCTGGCTCAGCAGCGTGCCGAGCTTTTGGAGCGTTGCAACATTGCTGAGACCAATCAAGCTCATCTAAAGAGGGATCTTGAGAATCAGGCCGAGCTTCTGAAAAGTCTTTATTCAAAACGCAAGTTTGATAAGCAGGTACAATTGGCAATACGTATTCCTCAATTTTGTTGATTTCGGTTTCCTCTGTTGTAATTGTTAGTTAAGTCTGAATCTTGCTTTAGTCCTTATGATGTGTTGTTGGAAGCAATTGTGCATAACTCAGAAATTAAGGATACAGATAGTCCTGTTTACTGGCATGCACGATGGAGTAGTTTCATCACCTTGATAAGGTGTCTACTAGAGGTCTTTTAACTGATGCGAATTATATGGTTCGTACAAATTACATGTTTTTGGTTTGTGGGGACAAGTTTACCCGTGTCTTCAGCATACCAATAATTTTCATGTTACTAGCAAAATACTGTAAGAGCATGTGTTCAAGAGTTTGTAAGGGTGTTTTCTTTTGATCGAGTTGTACTGAAAGAGATGTAATGTCTCTTTGACCTTCAAGGAACACATCCATGTTCAAGAACTTAAACATATCATCATGTCTATACTCACTATCTGGAGCTGATGAAGTAGTGGGGAGTGGTGGCAGCTTTGCCCCCCCTCTCCTGATGACGTTGATGCTCCAAGACTTTGTGATTGACATCACAAGGTTATAATCGCATCCGAAAAAATACCATGATTTGAGCAAAATTGCAGTTTTTAACCGAATTTGAGTTGTGACCTGCACTTAATACAAGTTTTCAGCCTTGGTGGGTTTCTGAGTCTCAAGTGTTCTAGGTCAACAAGCGAGTGGGAGTCATCAAGTGTTCTATTTTCTTTTTTTTCTTCACCAATGCAAGCTGCATTCGGTCACCTTTGCGTTTAGGTTGGGAATGCGCTCTGCCGATTAGAAGCTCATTTCAGGGTGTGGGTTTCTAAGATCAGAACGCGGCACTTTATGTGCTGGCATCTGCCAGTTAAGTCACAAGGATTTCTTTCACAAGCATAAAGGATGGGCCGTTTACAATATGAAGAAATGTACTAATCAAATTTTATTTGCTCTGTAGGCAAGCAAGGAGAAGATTTGCTTTGCGCGATTTGAGATTCATGGACTTGCCGTCTTCTTGCGCAACGCCAATGGCCATTTTGAAGCCATCAATCACAACTGTCCTCATTACTATTTGTCTGGGGAATCCATCGCCCTTTTCCAAGAGCAGGGTCTACCCAGTGGGTCGCCTTACATAGTGGGTCAGATTGTACACATTGATCGGAAGATAGTGATTCCTGCACCTCCTCCTCCACCTCCCCCTAATGGCACATTGGATGGAAACCTTCAGGGAAACGAACTTGGTGCAGGCACAATGTTGGTACCAGCTCGGGCAAGGGCATCTCACAATCCTTACGGATTGCCTGTAGGTACAGAATATTATGTCGTGACTGTCGCTATGGTTCCTGATTTTTAGATTTAGAGGTTAATTTTGTTTGATTGTGTTCAAGATACCTCTTCCAGTGTTTGGCGGTTTAGGCTATTGAATGGTGGTAGTAGGTATGGGTGTTCTATGTAGGTTTCTGGGATTCATTGAGTGAAGGGTAGTTGCTACATCTTTGTTCTCAACATCATCTCGCTCAAGTGTGAATAAGATGTGAGATGGAGGGGAAAGTTGGAGCTTCATTGATGTAAGCGGTTTCAAGTCCTGAGGACATTGTTTAGTGTCAAAAACTTGGCACTGCATTTGTAAATATTACGATAGTTACATTTTTTCTCGACTGCTCTTTTATCTCCTGGTCTCTGGTGAACCATTTGGACCTACACCTCAGGTTCACCGACTTTTGATGATTTTTTGCAAGATCCTTGCTGAATTACCACCGTGTCACTGCATTCTCTTTCTGCTTCTATTACAAATGAGAAATTGTTTTTACAAGTGGAGGTGTTCACTCATTCTTTTGCTTGTCAGCGAGTTTCTGAAATTTGGGCAGAAGCTAATTCACAGTTCTGAAAATTTGTAGAGATTTCTGAACTGTCTAGGTTTTGATGTTTGTGAATCATGAACAGAATCGTTTGAAAAAATAATTAAATCTCTATTTCCTACATTACGTTGCTTTGAGATATTTCATCTAATTAATTTGTAACATGACTGAAAAGACACATGCATGTATTTGCAATGGTGGATGTGGGACAATGTAAGCTTTAGCTTTGTCATGGCTTGTACAAAAATCCTAGCATAAGTAAAACCGTGAACTGAGTTAATTTATCTGTAATTATTAGTGATGTATGCAAATTTTCTAGGTTCAATATTAATTCAACTTCTCATTTCGGAATCTCTTGTTACAAAACAAAATTCTCCTAAATGTAAAACATTATGTTCTTAGTGGTATTGTATTGTATTGTTTTATGAATTGGCATTGAGGAGAGGATGTTCCAATGACTTGTTGGTTCATAATGAGCTTTATGCTTGCTATTAAATTGATATGAAATGTATGCTATTAGTTTGTGTTTTGCATGAATTCTCCTATTGACAATAAGTTTTATTGCTGACGAAATAAGAGATCGTGGCGTCGTGTGCATTTGGAGAAATAACTTTCATCACATCCTGGAAACCCCAACGTACGTCGACCTGCGACCTGCTACGATAATATATCCAGAACCTTGATAATCACTCTGAGAAACACAGCTCTGTTGCTCTCGGGCGAAAAGGGAAGCACGCATTCGCAGCTTTCAGACCGCTGCCGGAGGTCAATTGGGTGCAAACCCAGAAGCCCGTTGGTGGTGTTCCTCAACATCCCCCGCGAGGATGAAATCACCGTTGCATATCTTTGTCATTTTGTCCTTCTTCAACTGTGCAGATGCTTGGCTGGCTGGCTGGCTCTGAGGCCTTCGGGGAACTTTCAATGAAGTGGCTCTGCCTGAGTTTGTTTGCTTGTTTGATAGATAGACAGATAGTGCCATTCTGGAGGTCCAGGTGACAGTTGTGCTCAGGTCTGAGCTAAAGCTGAGTATTCTCATTCCCTGCTCTCTCACTCACCCACTCTTTTTATAAATAAATATATATCAAAGTATGTATTCATATTCATGTGTTCAAGGATAGTTAGAACACGGAACACTCGTTTACAAACCGTACTAGAAGCCTACTTCCGAACGCCGACAGTCCATTCAACGCAGAAACATATTGTCTAACAGTGACCCACATTTCTATGTATGTATATTTGTATATTTTTGTCACATCCTCATCATGAAAGAATCAAATGATGTGCATCTTCATTCTCTGCAAGTGAGAGAGAGAGAGAGAGAGAGAGAGAGAGAAAAAGAGAGTGACTGAGAGCTTCAGCATTTGTGTTACTTGTTGATGCGTTTTTTCCTTCGGATGAAGGTCGTAATCCACACATGAACTGAAAGTTTACCGACACCGAAGCTTAATACATTTGGATCCTTGATTGCATTCCCTCATGCATAAATCTTAATTACTACAAGTGGTTGTTGAAGCATGGCAAAGGCATTGTTGAGGTAATTACTCCATTATTAGATTTGCAACCAATAAATAACCAACTACATTTATGTTAATTACCATATTCTTTATGAAATCTATTTAGTAAAAGCATGGGTCTATTTAACATTCTCCTATATATAATAGTTACTATCTTTCAATTATTAATAAACAAAAGTAATAACTCGTTCATGTAGTTTTGTTTTGTTTTGTTTCTTTTTTTTTTTTTTTGTAAGGAAGAAGAAATAAAAAGAGAAGAAACAGAAACAAATTCTCTTGTAATTAACTAAAATATAAAAAAGTAAAAAAAAAAATAGCTAGAAATGTTGACAGCATAACTTAAACTTAAATATAATCCTAGTTGATTCATTTTTTTTAATAAAAATAATTTTAATCAATAGTTACAGTTATAGTTGAATTATATAAAGTTAAAAAATTGAATATGGTAGAAATTGTAAAAACTTATTCAATGTAAAATTCTGGTCTTAACATTCATTAGTATACATTTTATTCTAAATTAAGATTACTACAAAATTAATTCAAAAAATATTTAAGATTCAGAAATGAATAAAAGATATGAAATGAAATCATTGAATAGTTAATAATAAATTTTTAAAAAACTTAAAGTTAATTGTTGTGGATCAATATCATTGAAATTTAAACTATTTAAAAAGTAAAAATTCTTTGAGCTTTTTTTCAAAAAATATCAACATTCCTAGATTTAATCGCAAACCAAGGTGTAAACTAATCAACAGTAAAGCTGTAATGACCAAACAAATATTATCATCCATATCTTGGACTTCTGTATCTATCTTATTCGAATCAATACATATACAATCATGTACTCAATATATTTACAGCAAGGTAGTGTCGGAATAGGGGAGAGAACCTACATTGTCAGCTAGAATGAATGATTGTGAACTACAGCAGGAGATCTATTTGATTTTGTATCAAGTGTAGGATTCGGCATAATCCTGAAATTCAGACGTATAAATTTTACTCAGAAGGAGAGTAATCGAGTATAAGACAATGGTCGCACGTATTTCATTATATTACAAGTGTAACAGTCGGAGTTACTTCGCACGTGTCATGATAAAGAAAAATTTAAAAAAATTCCCTACAACGAGTAAGCATGGAATTCGGTGATTTCTGCGACAGTAACTGTGTTCGACTGGCATGGATGGCAATGCTGGTGCCCTTCGATTATTTTTGGATAACGGTCTTTAGGGGCTGCTCTTTCGGAACTTTTCTCAATAATTATAGGTTGATGAGCATTAGCAGAGGTTCTAGATTCAATAAAGTGAATCCGAACAATATGGAAAACATAACTTCTAATAAGAATCGCGCATGAAGCTCTAGCAAATCAGCGATCACAACTAATCTTTCATTATGCTATCTATCACGCGAACCTGTACAATTGAACTGCAGGTAACTGTAGCAGAAGAACACACCTGCGATGGCAATAATGAGTGAATGTCGCCAAACACGAACTGGCAGCCCTAGTCATGATCAATTTCCACAAGATTGATCTGTGCTTCCGAGGTAAAACTTATTCACGTCTAAGACGAGCGCATATAACATAGAAGTTCTATCCACGGGCTTCTGAGGCCACCATTTCATGAATTAAGTATCTATAGTCGCAATGATGCGTCTGCTACCACATCAGCGGACTAACTGCTCAACTCCAACGACCACAATCACATCAACTGTATGCGGAAACGGCCACAGTGCAGTTATTTCTAGGAGATTCCTGAAATTGCAATTTGACTTTACACCATGCCTCGCCTTCCTCCGCAGGATTCTCCGTGCTCTCCAACTGAAACATATTCTCACGCTTACTCACTGAGAAACTCAAATTTAAAAACATATGAAAATTTCTACAAATCTCCACTGGTCTAGAAACAAAATGAAGCTAATAAATTAAGAAATAAATAAAAAGGTAGGATAATCTTACTGAATTCTAACAACGACCTGCATGCGCGAGAATGGCTGCGCTCTATTGACGCCAAAATAAAATAAAAAAAAAAAAAAGAAAGAAAAAAGAAAAAAAAAGAAAGAAAGAAAAAAACTTCAGAGTGAAAAGCTTCCCAGCGTCATTCTCGCAGTGTGGCCTGATTATATAGCGGTGTCATCCATTGGATGAACGAAGTTGGTGATTTGTCGTCCGATGGATGGATGTATAGTTAGATTCGTGCATTGATCAGGTTCTAAAGTTTGATACTAAAGTTTGAACTTGGTCCATATGAGCATAATCAATAATTTCCTTGTAACTAATAATTGAGAGAAAGAAAAATCGAGTATGTATTACATGTACTTATACATGTATGTGTATATGTACAATGAGTGAAACCCAATAAACTATTAGGAAATAATATCCATTATAATCATGTGACTATTATTATTATTATTGTATCATTATTGTCCTTATTTCCATGTATTGTTTTGCTTTTTCCCCAGTCATTTTAAGTACGACCACCCACAACAGCAAGTCAAATACAGTGCTTGGTGGTTGTTTGACCTCAGTTAGAAGAGAGGCGGTGTCAACGGACCCCCAACGGGTAACAGATCGACGGATTGATGCCCGGTAATGTGATGTTCCCCTTAATAGCAGTGCATAGACTTCAGACACCCAAGCAGGGTATCAAGTGTAGTGAAGCTGAATGGGTGGGTGATGCTACCATTCCGTAACGGAATCTGAAGGGGCTTGAAGAGTATTTTTGATAATTAAGAACAGAGAAATTTGGCAATATATATATATATATATATATATATATATTTGTACTCCACTGTTAACATAAATTTTTTCAAAAAAATATTTCACTTGTAATTGAAGTATATTAGATTTTTTTACAATATTAAATAGAGCCCCAATCTTTTTTTTCTTTCTTTTACTTTTTTTTAATATATTAATCAACAAGAAAACCATATCAAACCATGTTAAAGCTTTACAAAATCTTGAGGATTGTAAGATTTATATCCAAATTGTGACATACTTTCATAATAGTTTATAGAACTAGATTGAATTTATCTAGATTGAACTAAATTGAACTAGATTCTAAAATGTTTTACAAGCATATATTATCTATGTACTGTATATTTGTTTATTTCTATTTATCTTGATTTATTTAAAAAAATCCTCATGTTGAAATTACTCTAATCTAATTATTGGAAGATAGATAGTATCTTCCAATAATTATTTTTGGAATATCAATAAGATAGCCAAACAATAGAAATAAAGTTAAGATAAGTTTTTATGTTTGATGCTTATAGATTGTAAATATTCAATGTATGGATAA